CTCACCAGCTCACGACATTTTGTAGTGTGAAATTTAAAAATGCAAATCAAAGTTGAGCACCTTCCTTTAACATGCTGGCATCATGTATAAACACCACTGGAAAGAAACATCCACTGGGTTCAAACCAAGAGCCTGGAAAACAGAAGAGCTTTAGCTGCTATAAAGAAAATATTCTCAAAGTATATACTGCCCTCCTGTGTACAACTCGGTATTACCTCAAACAGCTCCAACCTATTTTACGCCTGAGATTAATGTGGTGCTGTGATGTCCCAGACAATGCAGGAATAGTGATAAAATCCTGGCACTGGGGAACAGAGCGAAGAGACAGCTCAGACCAGGGCTGTCGGCAGTGAGAGGCAGCTAATCGCTGCCACTGGTCTCCATCCATCTGTTAGGAAGTAGATTTGCTGGATCCCTAGTACCAGAAGCTGGGAGAGCTTTGCTTTTCTGAAAAAAAACAAACCCACAACCAAACTCAAAACCAAAGAGGGTTTTAACTGGACTAAAAGAACTAAAGTGTGAAAAATTAACTGTTTATTTCTGTTAAACAATGTTAAGCTGTGCAGTAACACTACTGCACTAGGATACATCACTTCTCAGTGTAATGAAGGTTTTACTCACCACTACATACTTCTTTGCTTTTTATTTTAGCTTGCCTTTTAAGAAAAACAGGTTCTCGAGCAAATTTGGACCAAAATTGAGAACAAATTCAGAGCCACAGTGAAAGATTCACTTGGTACACAATCTCTGTTTCGCATTGCAAGTCACATTTGCACTTGCAGAATCTAAACACTGAATAGAAAAAAACTCCTAGGATGGTAACAGAACTAATTAAAAAATAATACATACTTGACTTCTAGACATACCATGGCTTCATAAAATAATTGTTTACAAAAAATTATTTTTCTGATGAATTCAGTACTACTTGTAAAAATCCTTTATAAAGGCTAAGTAAAAACTTCAGGAACTAAGAAGATGTCAGTTGCTAAATTCTGACAATGTTTGCATTGCACACTCAAGAAGAGCATTATTGCTGAAATAGATTCTTTATTTCTGAAACATTCCAAAACAGCAGTATACACAGTTGTAATCAAATATTAAGTCATATGCCATTATAAGAAAGCATTGATTAGTGCAACTGGATTTTGTAAAAGATCTATCAAAAAGATTTATTTGCATTAAAACTCATTTTCCATAAGCAACTGTTAATAAAACATTACAATTTTATTCTTTGTAATAAAGTACTGAAAATCAACTGTAGTTTTTGAGATCATTGTATCTTTTTAAGTGCAACGTGACTTATGCTGCCATTTTAAATACAAAACACTATGACAATAAATTAACAATTGAACAAATAGTGAAAGACCAACAAAACCATGCTGACCCAGCTGGATGGCAATTTCCAGTGAATGCTACCTTTTTTTTGTGCTTCAGCAACATAAATATACTGCTCTGTATTGCCAATGGTAAGATTTTGTAGGATATGTTCCTAACGCTAAAAAAAGTACATTACCCCAAAAATATTATTTATGGCACAGGAAAGTTAAATTATCTCTCTGTTGTTCAAGGTTCAGGCAAGTTTAAATGAACTTAAGTATACAAAATAAAATGTACTGGAAACACTAGAAAAAAATTCAAGCACATACAGTACCCCAAATTCAAAATAAAATTCATGATGCCTTTACACTGAATAAATTATCTCAGAACTTCAGAACGGCAAAGCTGCCCAGAAGTATAATCTCCTAGTTCCTTCCAAGGAAATAGTCTGGTACTTTGCACACATATAATACTTCCTTCAGTTCCAAATGCCACCACTGCCATTGTTAGTCTGATAACAATGCAGCTGTTCAGGTAACGGATTAAGTGCAATATTTAGTACTTGATAAGATGTTCCTTTTTAAAAAATGACATTGCATTGAAGATGGTTACATATTTAAGATCCTGGGGGAAATAATACTGTACGACCCTCCTTTTCCAAATTCTTGTTACCCAGCCAGCTGGGTAATGAAATCCACATTATTTATTTTCCACTGTTGATGGGCATCCTTCATCAATAGCAGCCGTCTCTCCAGTTCCCATCCCGCATCGTGCTGAGTGCCGAAAGTGGCTTTGGAGGCTGAAGAAAACTGTATTAACCAAAAAAAAAAAAAAAAGAAGAGGGCAAAGAAGTTGTATTTCATGTGAAAGATCAAGGTAACAAACATCATTTACTTCTGCAGTGACACTGGCTTTGGGGCTTGTTTAGAGACATCACTCTGGTATATTTCTAGCTACACATTAATGCACATATAAAGATCTGTGGTGACTCTGAGGTGAGTTCCAATGAGACCTCATCACTGTTACTAGCCATAACAGCCTAAAAGGTTTGTAAAAAGGAATTGGGTGAATAATTGCAATCATCCATGAGATGCCTCAAATATTAATATTTGGTTTTTCAGGGCTAAAGACAATCAAAATCTATTTTTGTCGCTATGGGCAGCAGAGATCTAATGGGAAACACTCTCCAAAAAGCTGTTGTGCTCACCATGCTCATCATAAACCAGCATTTTGTAAGAACACCATGCAGGCACTAAAGAATTTCATTGGTTGAAGAACTCTTCCAAGTTCTGCTCCAGCCCTTCTTATCCAAGACACATGATGATGTGACCATCTGACTTGATCCAATTGCCAGTTCACTGACGACAAGGCAGGCTATCTCTAATTTGCTGCAACTGCAATTTTGTTACACATGGATTTGCAGAAAATATTGTGTCTCAATTCTGTATAACTGTTTCTGCCAAAACCAGGCCTCGAGCCTTGTTTTCACACCACTCTGGTTTTGCTGTACTTTACCGACACCTCCTCTCCCTTCCAAACGCCTCTGGCTGTAAAAAGGCAGAGGTGTGTTTTAAGGTAGGCAGGCAGCAAGCTAAAAGCAGTCATCAGAGCAGTTCCTTGCCTCTCTGCTACAACTACTGTTTTAGCAGTAAAAACATTGCACTTAAATAAAAATAGTTTGTTAGATTCAGCCAAGTTGCTTTTGTGCAGCTCCACTTTGGTGCTGCATCACTTATCTTTGATGTAACTAGTTACTTGAAGCATAAAACACAACCTGCCTCTGCTGTTTTCTGCAACTGCTTTCTTCTTTTTTTTCCAAAAAGAAAAGAAGAAGCAAATATGTTTAATAATCTTCAGTAAAAAAAAAACAAACAGAGAGCAAAAGTAAAGAACAATTCACTAAATTATAACCGTAAGAACACTGCTATGTATCCAGAGTTGAATCTCTGCTACAGGGCATTGAACAGCAAAATGTGCCAGCATTGAAAACTATTTCAAAAAAGCACAAGCTGTCAGTATAATGTCACATGGTTTGAAAACCAGAGTCTTGGAGGGTCTGTACTCCATTTCTACTTTTCCATAATCAGTTGGATTGCAGTAACTGGCTCTATTCTTGCCAAGTCTGTGCCTGATATCTGGGATGATCCCAACCCTGTGCTGCTGATTGACTTTCTGGCTTTATCTAGAACCTGCCTCATCGCTATGGACTTGTCTGGAAACTGGGACTGCTGGCCGACTCTGGACACCATCAATGCTGCTCCTGGTTGGGCACTGTGCGGCAGCCTAGCTGTCCCGCTCAGCTTCTGGCCCACCATGCCCTATGGGAAGCTGCCCCCACTGCCTCTCATAATGCATGTTAGAAAGTGGAGAACTGGAAGGCAGGGGTCTGCAAGAATGCCCAAGCATGGAGTTGGAAAGGGCTGAGGGTTGTGAGCATCCACTCAACTGGAACAAAAAAGAAAAGTGTCATCCTGTGTTTGATCCTACGGAGTAAATACTAAAGTTCCCTAATGTAACCCCTATATAATGTGTCTAACAACCCATTTTAAGTATCTAAAATACCAATAACATAGATGGGTCCTTAACAGTCTGGCCATAGGTAAAAAGACACAGCTTTGCTCTGAATGTGCACTTCTCCCCGAACATCTGACTTACTTATAAAAACAGAAGACCTGTTCTACTTTTAATCAAGTCACTACTAAAAGTACTGTTTAAGTTTGAAAGAAGCAGATTCTTGAAGTGCTAATCAGAAATACCATTCCTTAGAAATGACCACAGTTACAAAAACCAACAGGGAGAAAAATCTGCCACTGATGGCTGAATTCCTTCCAAGAAGAGTTCATATGAACTGAAACTGCTTCTGTTTTCCACATGCATAAATAAAATCAAACAAGGGTGTTGAAGAACTGTAGGCTGAGCTCCAGTCTACAGTGCTATAAACTTGTAATTCCCATAGTGCAAAGACCATCTATTTTCAAGGATCATTGGTTTGGCTCTACGACAACATATGATGCCACTAAGATACATTTGAAGAAAAGAAGACAAGAGTCCAGACCTTCTGATTTGAATCAGCTTCTAATAAAAACAGTGTTGAGAGTACAGTGTCACACCCTCCCACTGAAACCTCTTAATTTTGCTTTCCTTTACTACTGTCTGTTGTACGAGAAGTTAAAAAATAGCAAACAACTGGTCTTCATGACCCAGAAAGGTTTTCTCACATATTGCTATGAAAGATTGAAGAGCTCTGCAGAAGAACATGGAGTAGAGGAAAGGAAAAAGAAAAAAGGAAAGAAAACCCTCTACTATAAAGGACTCTAGCAGAGAGAGTTCCAGCTGAGAGCAAAGGAGGCTATAATAGAAATCTCATGGTACAGTCTTCATCAAAGAAGAAACCTGACGGCTCTTTATCAAAGTTTCACCACAGTTGGTCAAAATCTGTTGCCAGTCACATCAGTGTAATCCCCAAGTAACTCAACAAAAGAGAGAATGTGAACAATTGAACTTATTCTGGATCTAGCCTGTATGCACTGAAAAGTATAAAAATTATGAGAGCTAAACAGCGACAGTTCATCCAACAGAAACCAAGGTGGTCGCACAGCAGGCCCTCACAAGAGGAGGGATGTGTGTGATGGGAAGAAATAGGTGGAAGAGTTAACGCAAGCTGACAGAAGTTTTTCTTTGAGAAGCTTCATATTAATTACAGAACATACAGCTAAGAGTTTAACTCCCAGCTGTGATAAGGTGATCAAAACACAGTCTCTTTCTTAAGCTTATTTTATTGCTTGGCCTAAAAATAACTCATTTGGAGATGAAATTCTCCTGGAAAAATACATTTGCATAACCCTATAGCTCATTGCAAGTATGTGATACTCCAGGATTCCCTGTTTACCTATTGTGTCCCATCTGAAATTGGAAAGATGCTGGTTCAACCCAAGACTGTACTGTTCAGGGTATTTGATTCCACACAATGCTGTAATATCACAACTTGCATTTTTACAGTCTAGTGTCATTTATAACAATGGGAATGCAACTTTTTCCTATTTGAGTACTCCAAGCTTATCCTGTGACACTGAAATAGCAGTTGGCACAAGTGTGGAAGAAGACAAGCCACATAAGTTAATGATATGAGGTTTACATTTGTTTTGACTTCTTATTGATGGGTGGCAATCCATTCTAATTTATATGTGATTATACACTATCATTTATCACAGTTTACTAGGAGCTACCATCCAACATTGTCCATCATTATTTTTGGCAAGAAATCTTCTCCTATCCAGTGACTCAGCACTGAAAGGCAGAAATTCTTACATTTTATAGCTTCATATTCACGAGGAAAAAACCCCACAATGTAAGCCTAAGCCATCCACATAGGGATGGAGGCCTGTTTAACTCTTACCTTCGAACTGGCTGTGCAATTTTACTCCTGGGTATGCCACTCCCATTAATGGCCAGCGATGGTCTTGGAAGAGCACTGCGCCCTACAATCCCTTGACTGGCAGTCTTGTTTGGCATTGGGATCCCAGTGTTAGAATATAACTGAGAGCTGTTGGACACTGGAATACTGCTGCTACCACTACTACTACCTTGTACAGTTGGGCTTACGTAGGCAGTAGCTTTGAGCGGTTGTCTGACAGACACTGGAAAATGTCCCACACTGTGAACTCGGTGTTGAAGCTGTCCTGGTGAGGGAACTGTGAAGAGTGATAGAAAAGGAAGCAAGAAGGTCAATATGCAACAGAAAAGGCCAGGGAGTAATGCTTAGTTCTAGAAAGATCTAAATAGGGCTAAACACATTATTATACAATTTACTTGCTGATTACAAAATGCTGAAAAACCTCTTGGATCCAATACTGTATCCAGTAACACTGCACTGTACTGAAATACCCTGTTCTACCCTGACTCTGAACAGAAGTCCCAGACCCTATTCATCCTTCTTTCTCCCCTCAAAGAGAGTTAATTAGCCACTATAAGCACAATAAATCCACCTACACAATCAGAGCTTTAAACAAACCTTTAGAAACTACTAAAGGTATGAATTAATTACTGTTTGAACATTTTGATTTTTGTAAGGTGGCTTGCAATAACCATATCTTGTTTAAGCAACAGTGCATTAAAACATGAAACATCACGGAAGTCCAAACTTTATGTATAAAAACAAACAAAAGGCTATTAAACGGTCTTGAATGTAACAACATATTTCAAGGTTGATGTTATGTAAACTATCGTTTTAAATCAATGCTCTGAGTTCCAGAAGCTTCACATACAGATTTTCTACCCAATCCTGCCCTCTGGTGTACATCAGACACACATCAGTGCCAGAGCCCACGTATCAAAAGCAAACAGGAAAAGCCTGAAGAACATAAACTAATACACCACATCCAGAGCAATCCTTTTTCAAGTCTGAAAAAGGACATTTTAAAACCATTCAAAGACATGGGAGAAATTGCAGGGATGTGATTCAAGCAAGCTATACTGGTGATATATTGCTACGGAAGTGCTATTATAACATAGCTCCTTAAATACCCCAGCAGTGACTTATTAGGAATGTTTTTTTTTAAAAATAGTTCAGAAAAATCCCATTTTACACACACACATACACACATATATTACATCATAAGCAGACAAATATGTGTTTCTAAAATAGTAAATAAATGTAAACTCTCAATGCACTATCATGTAAAAAAAAATTCATGTTCAAACTTGAACTACTTCCATTCTCCTATTCAAACAGGAAAAAAATACAGCAAAGTAGATCCATCAGCTACAAATACTTTCCACAAATGATGCAATTCAAGAGTTTTGAAGAAATTTGCAAATTCTGCTCAAATTTGAAAGAAAACTCCCACAGGCCAAGTTTCTGCCAACTTTTGCCTCCGAAATCTCACAGGACATGGAAGGTGTAAGGTAAAACCTTTCTTCCACCTGTGTCCAACAAAATACACTTTTTCCATTTTCTCTCACAGAACCTCAACCTGTGCTAGAAAAGATGGGTTTAGATCTTGATCTGTATCTTGTTTGTGTTCTAAATTAGTAATTCAACATCCACTAGACCAATACTCCATCCTGCCACCAAGAAGTTGCCTAGATTAAACCAATTACAGATCCACTTTAATTCCTCCACTCAGCAAGTTTATTATACTTGAGGATATAACCCTCTGTTTACTATATTTGCTCAGAAGAAAGCAGATCAAATTCAGTAGGAAAGAGGTCATGGATTTTAAGACAACACTGTATAAATTACCAAGAAAAGCAGTTTTCAACTGTAGTCAAAACAATTTCTTTTACAATACTACTACTACTTACTATCATAATTTCAGTCAGCACAAGATAAATGGGCAAAGGAAGAAAAAAAGATTAAAACCTCTCAATAACGAGATTTACAGAATTTACTTTCCAAAATAGAAACTTTGAAAATCCTAAACTATATCAAAATCTGGTGCAATAGGAACAATTTGATTTTAATTTTTCATAGAACAAAGGATCAGTGACTGGGATAATTATTTTATCACTTTATCGATTCCTTATGCATAGCCAAAGAATGCAGGTACTTACTACACGACTGCATCCTTGAAATCCCATTACTTGCTCCATGCAAATTTGAGTCAAAGCTCTGACTATTCCTCACAGTGACTGGAGAACTAGCAAAGCCAGCATTACTGTTAATGGTGGGGGTACTTGGCATCCGGGCGAGGTTAGGCATGCTTCTTCGGAGCTTATCTGAAGCAAAAGAAGAAAACATTCATAGTCAGGTCAGAACTTCCAACAAACACAGGCAGCCTCTGAATAATTTCTGTAGAAAATCAAGCTTATAACAAATTACATCAACACAGAGATGCTTTGCTCTGCAGGAAGAATATGAATATGCTATTGACAGCCTACAAATTGAACCCTTCTGACTGTTGTAACAGCATCATTATTCACAAGTAATTTTGAAGACACCAATGAGCAGTACATTTGCAGAATTGCAAAGATTCAAACAATAAAACATTGGAATAAGGATGAGTTTCACATAGATGTGTAAAGTAGGTCAGGTGAATCATGCCCTAAATGTGCCTGTTTCTTTGCAGTGAATACAAAAGCAAGGCTGCAGTGACAGTCAGACACAGGTATTTATACTGTGGATGTCTAAACACAGGAAAGGTGAATCCACCCTAAGTGACTAAAGTCTTGCTTTCAGGTGCCAGTGAGATGGAAAAAAATTCCATTCAGAACCTAACCTTATTAGCACATTAAGTTCTGCATATAGCCATGTGCAAAACCTGCTAAACCTTGATGCTGTTCAGTTGCTTGGAGCTTTGGGTTGGTATCAGAATTTTCAAATCTGATGTTTCTCCCTCCTACCTCATTTGTGGTACCTGATTTGGTAGGCATTTTCAGAATAGGTCTGTAGGGCCCCTCAACAAAAAGAAAGCTGCAAATGCTCCAAATATTTTGGGGGTGGCTGCAACAGCTAAGGCAAGGGTCTAAGAGGTCAGAAGGCATTTGCAATCCCACTCATGCTAGCTGATTTGGAGACAGAAGCTGAAACCAAGCCTGGCATCTCAAGAAGGCTTCCCAACCACAACAGCATTAGGTAATACAAGGTGAAGCTCTTTCAGTCTCTTCTGCCTCCGGGCCAAAAAGAGATGACTCAGTTCTGTATAATCAGAAAGGACTGGCAGGGGCAGAAAGGCACAGACTGAATGACCTGGTCTGCACTGCCTTCCATGACATGACAGACTTCAGGAAAGCACCACTGTGGGGAAATAATGGGTTATTCAATTAAGTTGCCACCAACAACACCACCAAGGTCTGCCTCTTGGCCAGGTTGAGGAGCACAAGTGCTGTGCCCTGTTGAAGGTGGCTGTCTCTCCTGGTACTGTGGTAAGCACAGAGACTACCAGCTGCTGTCCTGACATAGGTTCCAGTACCTGGCAGATGTCTGCTCTCAGTTCTTACACTGTAACAGAAAGGAGGGGTATGCTTGTCTTGTAACAGGCAACTACAACTGCTCTCTCCAACAGCAAGCAGGGCATTTTGAGACTGATGTTTGGGCTTTATGCATAGGAACAACACATCACATGCTTGGAACTGCTGGTTTAGGTCGACCTCCTAGGTCACACAAGGCAAGTTCAGTCCACAGAAACAACAGATTTATTTAGAAATCTCTTTTTATCAGTCCACATAAATATATAACCTATTTAGCACCATCACGAGCTCCTCTAATCCTTAAAGCTGCCAACAACTGAAAAGTAGTAAGAAGTGACAGTACAGTTCTATCTATACAAAGTAATAGGAATCACTAACAGTAAGTTCAATATATGTGATGCCTATGTAACTCCAGCAAGCTGTGTCACAGCAAGGCTACAACTCCAGCAGGAAAAGGAAATGCAAGCTTTGAATTCCTGGAAACTATAGAGTACTGTCAAATCCTAATAAAGAAGCATTTTAAGGGTAGCCCGTCATCAAAGAGTTAGAGTTGGGCTTCAATGACTAATTACTGACAGACACTGGCAGGGTGAACCTGGAAAGGGAACTGTCCTCCTGTGATGCAATACTTGGCCCAGAGAGGCAGAAAATTCGTGAATATGGGATGTCTGCAGCTACTGTTAATTTCTGAGTCCTAGTCTACCCTTTAAAGTCCTAGGTCCTGAAATACTAGGACATTACAGCACTTGGCAAAAATGGTTTGAGGAGCAGGATGGTGGTAGAGAAGATGACACTGCATAAAATAGTTTTTCTAATATCACACTCCGTAGCAGAATCTTTTGGACTCTACATGCTCTTCCACTCAGGGAGACAGACTGCATCAGCTACCCCAGGCATGATATGTGCCTTGAATTGTCCAGTGGATACAGCTACAATAGCAGAAACATAGGAACAGAAGTAGTTTGGATTTCCTTCATGTCATGGGTGGGCACGTGTTTTGCCTCCTGTTCATTAGTGCCTTCTTGTTCTAGCAGTTTGCTTTGCTGCTGATTCATTCAGTCCTCAGGCAGCAGAATCCTGCTGCACCTGCAAATTCTCATCCATCAAGCAGCTGTGTTACTTCTTTGATGGGTCCTTGTGTCTGCTGAGATAAATGGCCCTGAAAAGCAATGAAAATAGCAGGTCAGTTTTGTGTTTGGGGAAAACCCAGAAATGTTCACCTTGATGGCATTTGTAGCTTTCATCTCCTTGGATGATGCATCCTCTTTCATCTCTTTCTCGAAGTTTGTTCTGTCACCTGCTCCCCTCCTAAGAACAGTGGAAACAGTCTTACAGACGTTTTGTTTGTAAATGGAATGCTGGCTCTTGTGAGCTTAATATATGGAAGCAGAAGGTGGGAATCATGTGATTTTAATATTATTTCAGGCCACCCAGATGTCACTAGCTATGAACTTGCTGGAAATATATGAGAAGAAAACAAAAATAATTTTCCAAGCTGCTGGCAGCAAACATTTTCTTTCCAGACCTCTTTGCTCTCCTAAGACTGATGAGAAAATTAATAGAGAGGAATGAAGGAGCAGAGTTGAGATGTATTCTCATCTGAGAAGCAATTTGCTCAAGTAGTCCTGTTTATGATGAACATAATGCTGAAATTTGATACAGTTTCTGCTACTTCTTTTGCACTACTCTGGTTCAGTGGCAAACCTGAAAAATCATCGGTTGCTTGCAGTTTGTTCTGTTAGGAAGATGTGGATATTAACACCAGTCAGGGACTCCAAAGGACCCACATCTGTTCAAGGAAGGACTGAATGTGGCACTTAGTGGTGGTGATCAGTCAAAGGTTGGACTCAATGATCTCCGAGGTCTTTTCCAAACTAAAGTATCCTGTGATTCTGTGATTCTACAGCATCCATAGTTACTGTGACCCACTAATGAGTCTCAACCACAACCTAGGCCAAAACAAATATGATGCTTAAGTAGGATGCAGCCATACAAAGCATCACAGATGCATCTTCACCTTTCCCAGCCTTCTCTGAGATGTAATAATATCACCTACAGTAATTGTATTGCTGGGATATTTTGAAGTGTGGAAAATACAAGGGCAGGTCATGCAAGGGGAGTTAATAATCGGTTCCTGGTTATTACCAGCTTCTCAGAATAGTTGACACATATACAGACATGCTTGTCATTTCATGAGCATTCTTTAGGTGGCATACACTGCCCTTGTTTCACATATCTGCAGTAGAATGAAACATCAAAAATCACCTACTGGATGTTTACACTCTTCCCCGTATGTGACATCCATGCTGCATTTAGCCCATTGCCTACAGCACAAGAAAAATGGGGAACAGGATCCTCTGCCCTTAACTGAAAACATGCACAAAAAGGCCACCCCACAGCATAGGTCATATTCTCCACTGACGAGAAACAGGTCAAGAAGCAGGCAGAAGTGTCCCTTCTTTTGTCAAACATTCCACAAAATTACAGTGAAGACAGCAGTTGGCCTCTTACCCAGCTGCTTCAGTTCTGATTTTTTCCAGGAAGTTCTTCCCCTGATGCTATTTCTTCTCTGAAGTCAGCCTGGGAATGGTGGCCCAGCTTCTTTCTGGCAGGACACCAGAACAGGCAGCACATGCCTTCTGTCTTCTGATCCCAGCACCACTGGTGGCCATCCCCATTCCACTGCTGCTTTTTTTTTCCCCTCCCTGAGCTAATGCTACCACCAGCTGAAGATTAATGTCCATGCAGCACACAAGCAGACCTTGCCCTTGGAGCAAAGCTGTCTCAGAAGGGGTGCACACTTGGTGGGCTGCCAGATGGGGAGTTCTGTAGCAGTTCTTGGTAAGTATCATCTTCTGTCTACCAAAATGCCTCATCCAGGAAGGCTTAAGTTGACTTTACAATGAAGTGCCTTAAAACACATTTATTCCTTCATTGCTATTTTTTGCAAGAGCTGTCAATGTTTTATATGAACAAAAGGGCTCACAGGTCTCACCAAAAGCACAGTATTGTTAAGGAATGTGATACAATGAACGAGAATTATTAGTGCCTCCTAGATATCTATATCACTGTTTGAGTTACATCAGCAGTTTCTTACACATATTTAAACCCTTCATGCAAACACTTCAAATACAACTCTGCCTTATCTGTTTTGTATGCACAAATAAGTGGGGGTAAAATCATAAGTAAAAAATTAGTGCTTCTCTTTTTAAAATATGTTCTAAATTATGTAGATATGCAGAGTGAAATCCTTAACAAACTTGTAGACCCAATTACAACTTTACAGGATTAATTTCCTCATCTCTGAAGACCTGAGATTAGTATGTGCATTACATTTGTTATAACATTTATAACATCCTGAATACACCAGGGTCTTGTTAAAGGTCTGTGGAATCATCAGCTGATACAACAGACACATCAGTGTGTAAAAATGCAAATACGGATTAAAAACTAAAAGCAAGTCCTTCAGTTAAGTGAATGACACCATTCTTACTGATTGTCAATACATTTTGCTAATGTTGAACATTTTATTCAGAGTTGTTACTTCATCTCACCCTGCCTTCACAGGCATGTTTCCCACCACAGAGTTACAGCCAATTAAAGATTTTTCCATTATCCTTCCATGACTTCTCCCAATGATCACTATTTTCAATATAACTTCAAAGGTGGCAAAGCAAGACTTTTTTCTCATTTTCTTTAACAAAGTCTGCAGCAATTTCCTAGAGAGAATTCCCTCTTTCTTACTGAACAAGAGAGGTCATGAGCAGAAAAACACTCCATAAATCAGTAAGAACAGATGTTCTCCCAACTCTCCGAACACACAAATCAATGTTAGTCTATACTGAACCAATATCTAAACATCAATCTACTGCCCTTGAAATGCTGATCTTCTATATCTGCCTGGAGTTTGCTGAAAAAAAACCAATCCACAAAGAGACACCACATTTGCAGCTTTGAAAATGAGGTATCCAATGATGTTCAGAATATTTTGCCTGAGAAATGTTATTCCCCAGAAGCATAGGCAATAAAGAAACTCGTAACTAGTAATTTCTGAAAAATAGAAGCAAAACGTTTCAAGTGGTATCAGTGGCCTGTCTATGAAGATATAAACAAAGTTAAAACCATAAAAAACAACGTGAAAAGGTAATGGAAAATATACATTAAAAATAACCATGAATGCATGATCCATGAATGGTGTATTTTTCATCTACCCCTTCTTTCTGTACTATAATAAATTCCTTCTTTACCTGGAATAATGTGTCCAAAATACAATGTTTCAAGTTTTCAGGTATTATAAAAATAAACATTTTTAAATGTACAAGAATTAAACTTTATGAGTAATCCTGGGTACCAGGACTAAAGTTTATGAGTAAGCTGATCTCAAGAGCTGGAAAATGGGCCTGAACACAAGAAATCAATGTAATTTTCATTATCTTGTCTGTCCTGCATTTTGACTACTCTGGGTGATTTCACACCACTATAGCTCTGTTGCTTCTGGTTTCAGAAAATCAGAAGTAATAAAGGGCATAAATACTAACATCTATAAAAAAATAACAAAATTACTAAACAGAAACAAAATATATTTTTAAAAGGTAGAATGAAAGCAGTTACTTCTGCATCACAGTAAGGAAAAGAGGTCTATATTTATTGACAACATGAAGCAAAAAACAGCTTGGGTTTATGACTTTTGATGGCATTTCCTGTTGAGAAGGACTATATATAGAAAGCATGCTTGATGTTAATAGTTAGCAACATTTAAAGTTGCCAACCATTAACTTCTTCAAATTAGAGGAAGGAGAGAGAGTTATAAACATAAATCTTTCCATTGCAAACACATTAAAAGCTTTATTAAATTATAAAATACACACTAGATGGACCCACTTCAGCTAATTACAACAGATACTCAGAAGCTATTGACTCCTGTCTGTCTCAAATCTTCTTTAAAATATCTAATTCTGACCCACTAACTGATTACAAAATCCCTGAAAACCAGAATACCTTAAAAGGTTCAAAAAAAGAATTTTTCTGATGTAACCCATCACTACAGACAATTCAGTTGATTTAGGGAGAGGATGTAATTAAACAAATTAAAAACCCCAAACAGATTTCATACAAAGCTTTTCTATTACTGTACTCTTGCCAGTACTGGAAATAAAGCCTATTAGAAAGCAAAGATAACATACACACATTGCAGGCAATGGCTGCAAAAATACTGTTTAAGAGGTAACAACAAGTACACCTACAGCTTATGCAACAAGTGGCCTCAAATACACCTTAAACACATCATAATGTATTTCACATCTTGACATACTTTGATTTGCACACATCTGCCACTTTATGCTAGTGCTCACCAGGAGCCTTTCAGTACAGCAAGCTGTCAAGGACTGGCAGTGTGACTGGCAGCATTCACTCAGACATCGGTGGGATAAGGGGAGATGAAGAACCTGGGCCTGAGAGTGGGGGCTAGATGGTGTGGTATATTAAACCAGAAGTATGTAATTTTATATTAAAATATATGTACAGCAATTTAAAACAGGGCAGAGTGTCAAAATTACAGCAGAGGCAGCACTTTGCTATAACATATTGGCAAGAACAATGTGTAAACTCAGACTTACGGCTTCAAATACAGTTGGCAAATATCTCTGAGAGTATTCTCACCCCAAGCATAGGCAGATTACTAGGGTGCCAGAAACTGCAAACAATTTCTCTGTTACCTAAAATGCAACTCTGTAGATGGAGAACAAGTAGGCCACTGGCTACAGTGAGAGATGAGACATCTAGTGCACAAGTCAGTGTCTATATAGAGGTACCTTATGCCATCTGACAGCCTCTGGGTTGTCTATGGCATCTAAACAGCACTGACACAGGGCAATGGTGAAGCCAGGGTGCATCAAAGTACCTCATGCAGCACTGTGTGGGCAGCTGAATTGGGTCCTTCATACACATGTGGGTGTCCACACCTCAGCATCTAAAAATAGGTCCTTCTCATCAGGCAACCAAAATTAAACTCTTACAAGAATTATTAAAAAATTTTCAAGTTTATCACACCTTCAGCATATTTGTTTCAGTACAAGTAGTAAGTACCTCAACTAGAGCACCATACCAAACAAACATTGCCTATAGTGGGTAGGGCAGCATGCCTCATACTATTTGCCCAAGGAAAAAAATTGTTCTTAAGCTAAATACACAGACTAGTTTCGGGGAGACAATGTGTCAAAGCTAAATACTGTTTTTTCACCCTAGTGTCAAAATTCAACATTTACTTGCTGCTTACTGTTTCTTTTATGAAGAGCCCTGAGAATGACCACACGAACCAGGGGCCAGACCCTTAACTGCATATAAAAGAACGTAAGCCATCCCTACGGGGGAAGGGAGAGGAAGAAGGATTTGGGAAGACTGTTGGCATGACCAAGAGCAGCACAGCACATGGCATGCATGACTTTTATTAGTTATGTATCATGCCTTCCACATATACTGAAGGCAGAAACTAAACAGTTCTTCCATCTATCACACCCCTCTTTCTCATTTGCCTTAGTAAACTGTAACAGTGTGGAACACACCGCACATCATACTGAGCTTCAGACAAATTCTTATTTTGCAGTCTACCTCCATTTCAATGTGTAGGAGGCCTTGAGAGACAATGACATTGCTGCCAAGATGACAAGTGCCAATGAGAAGATGTCGTAGTACTACTCAGACTTACTCAGTGAACACCTGACTCCTTGCTTCCTTGTCTGCCAACAGAACACATCCAAATTAAAATGTTTCTCACCATCAGTATCTGCCACTTACGTAGATCAGAGCTGCATGAGTCAGAGGCTGAAGGTGTAGAAGCTGAAGAGATAATTCCCCTCTAAAGACAGTAGTACTGGTAAGACTGTCTGCCATCCCTGCAAACAGGTAACTGAAGTCACCTGTGTCCAGCTTCTGGGTGACATCAAACATACTATCCAACACCTTCAAGTTCTTGAGAAAAAAAGTAAACTAGGTGGTAAAATTGGTGGTCTTTTACATTTATACACCTTATAGTTAATAAACTAGGAATCTAGTGTTTCTAGTGCCCTAAAGGTTTCCACACGTGAATGTAATGCTTAAGTTCCACTGACATGGAACACGAAAAAATCACTCAAAACACATTCAGAGGCCACACAAAAGATGGCAGCAACACATCCTGCCCTTTTTCATTTTAAATCACTATGGCACATATACAGTACCAACAGACACCCACATTGCTCTCCACCCTCTGTTAACATTAGCTTTCTTTACTCTTTATAAACTGACACTTGTCAATTATACTTCCATACCATGGCTTACTTTGAATGCAAGTGCTTTTTGGCACCAACCTGTCATGTCTTATTTGTTAGAAAAGCAGCATGCATACCTGTAGCACTATAAATAGCAACTGTGCGTTGTTTTGAACAACACACTTATTTTCTTGCCCAAGGGTGAGCTGTAACCTGTAATGTTACAAACAAGACCCTGGCTGGAAATGGACTGTTTAGAATTAGCTTGGGGGAAAGACTTAAGGAATAGGAAAGTAAGATGCAGCAGAAGGAAGAAAATTGTGACAGTAACAAGGAAAGAAAAGAAGGTAACATCAACAACACAGAGCAACTTAAATCATGAGTAAGCATCCAGAGACAAATCTTCCAGAGGCTCTGGAATACATCTCAAATGCAGTGCAAAAAAGCAGCAATGCCTCAGGATAGTTTGGGAATGACATTATCTCCCACTACTTTAACAGTCAGCCCTATCAGACCTGGCACAGAAGCAAGATGTTGACCCCTGCCATAAGCATTCATTATGGATTCACAGCACAGCTGCATTAATGGCAAGCTCAGGAATAAGAAAGGGAACATAAACCTAAAAATTCTAATTTGTATTTTACTGTATCCATGATGGACATGCATATATCAAGCTTGAAAGCCCAATCAGTTCTTCTAACCAACTATTTGCCTGCTGAAACATGCTCTTCTTTCCTTTATATTTCTTTCTTCATTTGTGATCATTCTTCCAGCATTTCAAAACACACTAAAGCAACAGCTTTCATGACCAGGTCACAGATTATGTTTTGTAGCAAATTACTTAACAATAACACACCTCAACCATTTATGTGGGTTTAAATTACTTGTCAGAATTCATCTTTAAAATGGCACTGGCACTTGGCACAAAGACCACTTCTCAGCAAAGCATGCAACCCACCTCCATTAATCCTATTTGGTTGCTGTTCTGGAGTCTGGGCTTGAGGAGAGTAGTAGGGCTGCTGGTAAGTATTTGTAGGGAATTGTGGGGAAGTAGGGCTCCTTCTGCAGTCCCGGATACTGGAGAAAGTCTGTGAGTGAGGAATCCCTCTCTGGAAGGGGGAGCAGCGAGTCAGACGTGGCTGTGGAGGTGGAAGGTGGTCAAATTCTTCCTCATCCTCAAGACTATAGCGATCATATTCCTGGTCACCGCATGTCCCTTTCTTCCCCGCATTCAGTGAGACACTGGAAGTGTGCCTTGACACAGATGCTGAAGTTGAAGCATAATCTTGCCTAAGGCCTGTGAATTCCAAGAGGAGGATGATTCAGCTTCTGCAAAGTGATTAACTCTCAATATGCATATCAATCTTGAAAGTAAGCAGGTAAGTAGACATAATTTTACCTCAAGAACTGGATTTACAATGTAACCAGGCCGAAGATCTTACACAAGATACATATGATCTAATTTTCTGTCTACTTTTTAAGCATCTAAACCCGAATTATTTCCCTCAAGACCCCTTCTTAATAAAAAATAAAAATAACCACAGGAGTCTCCAAAGATGTCTTAGATGCCTCTCTTAAGGTAAGACAAATCACCTTCAGGAGGCACCTACTTCTCTGCCAGTAAAAAGACTACATGGGTATTAAGATTTTAACTTTTAAATACTCTTAATTAGAGATATTACACTCACATTAGCTTTCCAACCTATTGCTATTTAAGTTTTATATTCATGCAATGAAAATGCTGACAATGACATTTCTTCAGCTTATAACCCATGCAAATATTCTGTCTCTACAACCTCCCTGAACCAGAACTGTTCCTGCTAGCACTCAGTGTCATGGACAAGGCTTAGCTAGTAACACAACTGTGTTTTACACAGCTACACAACCCTACCACCCTCCTCTCAGAGTGCCAGGTTTTGAAAACCATCCCACTATTAGCATAACCCCAGAAAAGCCTGTTTGCTCTGGGTCAAGTGAGAGGTAAACACTTCCATCCCTTGCACATCCCTCCTTTCCCCAGCTGCACAGTAGCCAGGGAAAAAGGAGATGTACATCACATTTCCAGAAGCCAAGTAACTCTGCCAATAGCTGCAGATAGCAGCCTTCCTAGATTTACAAAAAGCCCTCAGCTTTAACAGATGTCTTTGCTTCATAATGGAAACTTCTTAATATGCTTCCTATTCCCCCTCCTCGAGTGGGAGTTTCTATTTGTGGCTGTGAAGAGAACGTGTCTGCACGCACGTATAGAACTACCACTTTCCACGGGATTAAGTGGACAGCAACTGTCACGTGCTCAAACATTCTGCACCAGCTGCTACTACGCGATACAACCATTGCACCTGACACAGATTAGAAGTAAACCCAGTGTTTTTCTTTCCAGTTTGCCAATGACCTGACTCTTTAAGGAGCTAAGTACCTGAAGTGTTTTTTAAACCTCACACTGAAGGAGATGAGCACAGCTGTCATTTAAGTATCCCTTGTATCTTTGATAGTCATAAGTGTTTTCTTTTGAAAATTAAAACACTTGCTAATTTCTCTGCTGAACATATCGAATGCTACTAGACACTCTGCACGTTCTGCTGCTGACAGGTGATCACTCTGCAGCCAGATCACAGCTCTAATTTTTTCTTCACGTTTTAATTTTTGTTTTATATAATGTCTTATTACTTGGCATTTCCCTTCAGGCTCCATCTCTGAATTTCTATTGCTTTTAATCTCATCACATCCTCCTTGACATTTCACTTGGCACTAGTAGAAAGTGAGAAAGATACTGCACTTTCTGCTTCAGTGACCCCCAAGTCAAATGCACTTTATTTATGAATAAAGACATTTTCCAAAAATTACTATTCAGCCAAACTATAATCTATGTTCAGCTTGACTTTGGGCTCAGATTTGTACACAAGCACTAGTTTCAAGCCAAGATGTTAAATTTAAAGGCCCTAATTCAGTTTTAAAGGAGATTTCATTTCAAAATTCATCTGACAATTAAGAAAATCAAAGTAGAGGTAAAGAAAGCCATGAGAGCTGCTTATTTTTGCCTTCCTCCTGAAATGCATGCATGAGAAAACTGCTTCAGCATCTTCCCTCTCCAGGAATAAAATTATTTCAATTAATGTGGTAAGACATTATAAATCTTCTAAATCTAAATGTACTCAACAGGTATAGATGCACCAGTTGGAAATCAGAAAAATATAATAATCTAATTCTGAAAGACCTAGTTTAGATAAACTTGAATCCAACAATGTGCACACCTTCTCCATGCAGGTGAAGAGCTATTCCACCTGCCACTCAAGCTGCAACACCATTTAAGAAAGATTCACTTGACTGAGACCAGACTGGAACAGTCTTAACTGTTATGGGAAATCTTCCTCAGACTATTACAAAAACCATTTTAAAAAAAATAATCCACCTACTCTCCTCCTGTAGACGAGCCATAATCTGAACATCAGTGAGGTCCTGCAGCTTGTATCCCATGGAGATGGAATCATCTTCCAGCTCTGAGGTGCTAAGTTCACTGTCTACTGATGACTGTGGACTCAACGGGGAACTCCTAGAAATGTAACCTATTTAAGAAAACATAAATTTTAGGCTGCAAATATGTCTGTCCATCTTTCATTCATGATCATCTGTCCTTTATGTTACAGTAGCTTAAAATATTTTCTGTATAGCACATACACACTTTCAGAAGTGTAGTTCAATTCACTAACAATTAGCAAAGAGCTTTGATACCCATGAGAAGCAGTAAGTGTAGTAATGGATCATGAATTCCTCTGCTTGTTCCCAAAATAGGATCGCATAGCCCAGACAATGAATAATTTACCCAATGCAGTTCTGATACAGCTCAGATTAGTTACTGTAGTCTAACCACATTTGCATCTGAATCTCTCTTATGAGACTGTAATTCTCCCTACTCTGCTCTGAAAAGCAAGTGTATATGTGTCACCAATTTCTGCTCAGTACTCAGATGCTGTATCAGAGCCATTTAGCCAAATTTTACTCTTTTTCCTCTTTTTAAATTGTTCATAGTCATCCAATAAATCAATTACAATAATTAAGACTGAACATTATTCAACAACAGAGAAAGCACTGCCTCCTTCACAGAGCTACTTTTTAGAGAAGGCTCTGGATTTGAACCTGTATGACAGTAAAATATGAACTAATTTGCAACTATATGCATGAACTACTTTTTGTCTAACTTTAAAGAAAAATCCTTCAGCTAAAACAATAAATCACCTTCTAATATCCTCTGGACCACCAGAGACCCACAGACTGAAGGGCACTGTGACTCTGGCTCACCAGCTGTGCTTGTATCACAGATGTGTTTGCATCCTCTAGCACTGCTGAAAGCAGCCACCTAAAATTCATCCTAAATTCAGCTGTTCTCTAATAGTATCCACAAAAGAAAAGGACAGGCAGGGGATTACTTTGCTTTGAAGGACTGTAAGGAGTAAATGTGTTTGCTTTTTCAAATGTGCAAGTTAGAACAGCCCCTGAGGTTCTTCAGAGGTAGTAGCAGCTGTGCTGTTTGGAGCAGCAGTGGGAAGCTTGACAAGATACCTGAGGGTTATCTCAAGCATGAGATGCCTTCATTTAGGAACTAGACTTCATCCCATTGAATAGGGAAGCTTAGACATCTCACTCACATGTAGACACCTACACCAGGCGTTCAGTCTGGAGCTGTATCTCACCCACAGTGCCCATATCACTTAAAACAGGGCTTTCTGCAGTGATTTCATGCGTTGTAAGGAAAATTGCACAGAGACTGGTGTGACACTGATGCTAACTTCCGTAGCCCACGCCTGATCCTGCCAGCAATAAAATGTTAATGCCTCTTCCCCAGAAGATTATTTTCTTCACTGCCACTGCAGTTTAAGAGAAGTCACAGATACAAGCTGACTCCTGGTAATAGCAGTGAAGAAGGAAAAATGCAAATCCTTGCAATTTAGAGACCACAGAAAGTTTCTGTTTTTCATAGAACTCCCGTGTCCCCTGAAAATCAGTGGCAAACATAAAATATATCTTGGATAGTAGCAACAATGCCCATTTGAAAACAGTCATGATTCTAACAGTTATTTTCATTATAGAGAAATTCTCCCTGCAATTTCATTACACAGCTGCACATGTTTCTGTATACACAAGGAAGGCAGAAATGAGCATCACTTAACTGCTGTTAAATGCTAGCAAGATTAGATTAAATTAAGCAATTTTGTAAGCACTGTAAATCAATAAAATGATAAGCATTACCTGTCCGTTCAGGTGTTAGTATTGCTTTACTGGAGGTTTTAGAGAAGCTGGGACTATTAAAGCCATTGGTATATGGGGTGAGTCTTGCAACAGGACTATAGGGAAAAGCCAAGGAGACAGGTGTAGAGAAGAGGCTCCGCCATCGGCTAGCTGTTATGGATACGAGGGAGGAGGGAGAAAAAACAAGACTTATAGTTATTAATAGAATAGTGCTGTTAGAGAGAACAATCATCTAATCTTAATCTGTTCATTGTACATTTTTTACTTATTACAAAAGGAAAACAATGGTGAAAATTCAGCAGCAAATCAGAGCATCAGCACAGTCTTCTACATGTAAAAGTGTGCTCCAAAAGCTTTTCTAGCAAATGTATCTTGTTTACCTTTTTCTATTGTATACTCTTTTTTGGTGCATATTCATCACATACATCATTGGGTGCTAACATGCAAATAACTGAGGAAGTAAAACCTACTACAGCTAATAGAGAAACACAAATGAAATTTGTAGTGCTCTTCAACAAATTTTTCATGGCAATCAATCATCACACAATTGAATTAGCAGCTAAATTATCAGTTATGGGAGTTTAGAGACACAGCAACAAAAGATGCTTAGCCATCAAGTGCTAAAAACAACTGTAATCCCACAGCAAGCTTTTAAGCTACCGTATTTTCCCTTCTCTTTTTACAGCATCAAATTCCTGATTGCATAAGCATGAATATTTTTTTCACTGTTTTTGGAGGACCAACCAAATAACAGAACAAGGCATCTCTTTTTTCACATACTGTTTACAAAAAGCTTGCAAGGCATCTGGTCTTTGAGCAATATCACAAAGGGTTCAGAGTAGGCAAAAATAAAGCTAAGGGCTTATTTAATTTACATTTTCTTAGCTCATCCAGTAAAAATATGAATCCAACCATCCTTTTTTTGCCTGTTTTTAATACACATTCAAAAGGTAAAAAACATCCACATGCCCTTCAGAAAAAAAAAATTACTGATAAAATTGGTTTAAGTATACAAAATTTTTTTTAAAATAAAAATTTCAGAGAACCCATCCAGATATAAGCAAAAAACAAAACACGTGATAGTAATGCTTTTTTTGGATAGAATCTATTTTGCCCTCACAGATGTTATGTACAGTGACACAAGACAGAGAGCTATGAACATACCCATATCTAGCTTTGAAACCAATGGCATAACCTCAATGCTTAGCAGGTGCACTTCACAGTGTCAGATGCCACAAACTGGTTTTCAAAGCCAGAAGGGCCCAAAAGCCCTCAAAAGCTATTCTCCATCACAAGGCTACTTAATAACACAAATCTGCCATGTTATTTGTACCTCTCCATCCAGTCGTTCTGAACATTCACAGGTATTCAAATACTCAGGCTCTCTGTTTTCAGACCTCACTTGTCACCAAAATGATTTAGCAGGACATACAAACTTTATTCCTCCTTCTTGCTAAGGACACCAAGTGGCCATGGGGACAGCAGGGAAGCATTACTCAGTGGTGGGCTGTCATCACATCCTTGCAACCTTTTGGAGTAACCAGTTTGACACCAAAAGGTGCTATTTCTCCTCTATTCCTTTTGCTTTGACCCACTTAAATGTACTCCTGGGTTTGTAAAGTGTAAATAGCCTTTTCTACTCCTCTCACAAATGCTACTAAGCTTGGAATGAAGGTAACTGCCTGGTTCCAGCATTGGCACAAAGCAGTCTGCTAGGGACAAGAATCACCTGCATGGCTCTGGCTCTGTGGAGGGTAGCTGAACTACACATTAGTAACATACAAAAATTCAAACTGTGTTCTTTGCTGCCCTCTCATCAAAGAATTATTGCAATTCCCTCATTTTTGATGACTCTAGTTCCTTCAAGGGTTAAGAAACCTAAAGGTCTGAGATCTTAACTAAAAGCAGTATCTGCACCACTTTCAGGAAGCTGCTTGATGCCAAGCCACACAGAACAGACTTCCCAGCAAGGCCATTTGTCCTGAACATTCACGAACTGATCAGTTCAAAAGTGAAGCATGCAAGGGTTTCAGGACAGAAACGAGAGCAAACAGGGATGGACATTCCTCTGTAAACTATCAATTAACACAGATCCCTGGGGATGAGATTAACTCACAAGGAGTTAGTAACAGTAAATTGATTTGAGGCATTCTTTGAAAGAAATGTATGCAATAGAGCAGATCTCAGTATCGCATCCACAGCTAATAACTGTCATTTCCACTAGAAACCACCAGTAAGAGCAAGGGATGACATTTCCTTGGGATTTTATTTTTCTGCCTAACACAAGCTACTGTTTTGTAGCAGCCTGGTCATTTGCCAGGCCAATTAGCTGCCAGCATGTTCTCACCCCCAGATGTGGTCAAGCATACAGCACAAATAAACATCATTCATTACCCTCTACAATAACCCCTGTGAGTTTACCCACCGAGCACAAAGCAACACTTATCGCAACTACGAAAGCGAAAAACCACACGAAGAATATAATTAGTATTTATGGCAAACCAGATTTCAAACTCCTCTTCCAAATAGCACGTGTTCTCAAAGTAAGATGGATGAAGAGACCAGGAAACTCTATCTACACCAATATCTATGCATACACTAAATCTCTAGAGATGTCAATGTAAAAAATTCAAAATTCTACAAATTTCTGCCACTGTGTCTAAAATAAAACTTCAGAGTGTTTAGGCATCAGCAAAGGACTGACACTTTTTAGGCATTAAATCCATTGTTTGGGATCACATATAGAACAGTTTCCATTAGGTTTCAAATGGAAATCTCAAAGTATATATTGAGTACCTTATGGTATTAACAAAGACAGCAAAATTAGACTTGTGCTAATGCCAAAACCATTAAAAGGTATGCAGTAAGGAAGTGCTGCAGACATGCAGACAAATACATAAATTAACTTAAAATTAATAAAATCCCAAAATTGTGTAATGAATAGTCATTTTATAATTATTTTGCTCCAAATGGAATCTGTCCTGAGTAGCATGATAAAACACTGCTGTGTTATGCATGGATGAAACAAAGTTGCTAAGACCTTTATTTTAAGTTAAAAAATCCAGCTGTTAAGCTCTGAATTTTACAGTATTTGTAGCTTCCTCTTAAAGCCCCAACTCTGGTTGCCTGCAGATGAAGTAATAAACCCAGGTACCCTTTAAAAACAAAGAAAGTTTCTAACTTTTGCAGTTGAATAGAAATATGAATAATCCTGATCTGAGTACCTTATACTGAAGATGCACTGAAGGAAGAACGAGATTCAGCCATGGAAAGGAAAGCAGGAGCATCATCAACAACCATCAACAGAACAACCATCAACAGAAAAGATGCCAAAACAGTCCGTTTGATTTACTGATAGCAAAGAGGTAAATCTGTTAACAATTTGACTTCTCAAAGCATAAAACTGTTGGAGCTAATATTCTTTAACAGATTAAGCATAAACTGTCCCAGTCATCTAAGTCTACGGTTAGATTAGAAGTCCTCGACTTCCTGGGTACAATTTCCTTGGTTTTGATAAACTCTTAGTAACTAGATTGCTGATAATGTACTGTGCTACATAGTATCTACTCAAATGTTTTATAAAAGGACTTTTCAAACTGACCACATAAGCAGTCAAACCAAACCCTTCCTTTAAAAAATAAAATCAGCAACAAGTGAGCCTGCTCATACCTTCAAAATATTTACTAACGGAACTGAAGGTTTAAAAATTAGCAACAACCTTATTTTTGTACTTCCCCGGAGATAACAAAATGCTAATATAGACGAAAATAGTAACTCATGTAGAAAAATATGAGAATATGAATATGAATATTAAACACTAATATTCACCATACTGACTCCTGTGAATTACCAGTATTTAGTAAGAACTGATGGGAAATTTCACATGAAAGCCTGAACAAGTAAACATCCACAGTTTTGCATGGCTTAAATGAGACAGAGCACCCTGCAAAACCACAGCATGCTGTACCATATTGAAAACAATTCCCTTCCTGAAACTAATTTCTTCCTTGAGCTACAGAGTTTCTAAACCTATACAGCAATGTTTTTGAAAGCAAATATGAAATCTGCTATTTAAATTAATGGGAACATTCATAAGTGTACACAAGGTAAACACTAGTATAGATTCTCATTACGTTGTTTTAATTTTGAGCAGTTACATTGAAGTTAACAGGGACAGACTAAGTACAGGTCCTCTACCTGATGAATCAGATACACTTAGAGCATTAGATGTGATATATGTAGGACATGTGAGTGACCAAGCACTGGAACAGGTTTCCCAGAGAGATTGTGGAGTCTCCCTCACTAGACATATTCAGAAGCCATACGGGTGCAATCCTATGCAATGTGCTCTAGGATAACCCTACTTGAGCAGGGAGGTTAGACCAGATGACCCACTGTGGTGCCTTCCAACCTTACCCACTCTGTGATTCTGTGATCGTATTAGCGAAGTGTATCAGGGTTTCCAAGACACCAAAAGGGCATATGTATATTTTAAACACCTTCCATTTTCATAACTCCATTATAAAACTCTGTGGACTCAGTTTGCCAGAACTGGAACTTACTTTCACTCTACGCAACACAAATAAACAATATTTCTTTGCAATAAAGACAGAAAACAATAAGGTCATAAATAGCAGTGTAGTACTATTGACTAAACATACTAAATTATATGAGGCATTATCTAGCTTGCTTATCCACTCAATTAGCTTAAGTTTTGTATAGGCCTCCAGGCCAAAGTAAAAAATGCTTTTTAAGCGCAAGCTAAAAACAAATTAAATTGCATATATGCAGACATTTGAATATGGGTACTAATTACATAGCCTGAACAAACCCCTCTTTCGAGCCAGCACAGTACAAAACAGAAATATTTACAATACTCTCAACCCACACAGCACTTTCCTGCT